GGGTTTTATGTGAACACACTGTGAGTCTTTAACACCTGGGTTTTATGTGAACACACTATGAGTCTTTAACACCTGGGTTATATGTGAACACATGGAAACTTATTAAATATCAGTGGTTTTATGTGAACACACTATGAGTCTTTAACACCTGGGTTATATGTGAACACATGGAAACTTATTAAATATCAGTGGTTTTATGTGAACACACTATGAGTCTTTAACACCTGGGTTATATGTGAACACATGGAAACTTATTAAACATCAGTGGTTTTATGTGAACACACTGTGAGTCTTTAACACCTGGGTTATATGTGAACACATGGAAACTTATTAAACATCAGTGGTTTTATGTGAATACACTGTGAGTCTTTAACACCTGGGTTATATGTGAACACACTGTGAGTCTTTAACACCTGGGTTATATGTGAACACATGGAAACTTATTAAACATCAGTGGTTTTATGTGAACACACTGTGAGTCTTTAACACCTGGGTTATATGTGAACACACTGAGCCCTTAACAACTTGGTTTTACATGAACACATAGAAACATATTAAACATCAGTGGTTTTATGTGAACATACTGTGAGTCCTTAAGGCCTGGGTTTTATGTCAACACACTATGGGTCTTTAACATCAGTGTTATATGTGAACAAACAGAGTTTTTAACACTTTGGTTTTATGTGCACATAGTGCAAGTCCTTAACACCTGGGTTATACATGAACACACCAAGTTTTAACACCTTGGATGTATGTGCACATAGTGCAAGTCCTTAACATCAAGGTTATACATTAACACACTGAGTCTTTAACACCTTGTGTTTGTATTAATACAGGTTTTTAAAATCTTTATGTAGTATATATATCTGCTCTGCACATTGCACATCTATATACTTCACTTATGTATCATAGCAGAGAAACTTTAGAACATTTTAAGATGAAATAGTGTTACTTCTAATAAAATCTGAAAAATTCCACATCTTCATTTACTTTATGAAACAGAAAACATTCTCAATTAGCAATATGTTCCTAATGTTTTATAACAATAAACAAACTTTTCAATAATTTTAAAAAACAAAAAACAGGTTGTCAATGTATGTAGTATATGATAATATAATCAACTAGTTTCTTCAAAACCAAAGAAAAACTAAAATGTAAGAAATCCTCATAAAATGCTCACAAATTAATCCTCATCATCTGAAAATATAATTGCAAGAGTTAACAATTACCATTCTTTCCAACTGAGACGTCTGAAGCCGACCTCTCTCACCCATGCTTGATCTCCACACTATATCAAGTTTGCCAATGCTGGTGACACCTTTCAATAGCTTTTTATCTCCTTCACTTTCTGCCCTAGGAGTCAAGCAGAAGAGATACTGACGGCTATCCAATGGATTGAGGCAATTCACTTCACCAAACACTAGGCTACAACTGTCATGAATATCTCATTATTAGAATGATTTTGTCAATACAATTCACAACCATTTTATAGTACAAAAATGCCACAGATACAGTTACAAGACAAATTATCAACCATTTTACAGTACAATAATACCACAGATACAGTTACAAGACAAATTCTCAACCATTTTACAGTACAACAATACCACAGGTAGAGCTACAGCTATTAGAATGTGTAACCACTTGACACTAAACACACAGAAGACATAAGAACTACATGCAAAAATTATGTACAAAAACTATCAACTTAACATGATAGAAGTTGTAAAACATTTAGAATTCTCACCCATTATCTAACATATTTAGCTGACGAGCAATGAAATTCTGAGATGGTTCTAATGAGACCCGTTCCAAACAAATAGGAATAGAGGTAATATTCTGGAGCTGGGCTTCTAGGTAAACTTCATCGGACTATGGAAGAAAATGTGACTTATAACAAACTTTTTTCTTTCATTAAACATTTCACCAACGTTTTTATATGAACTTTAAAATAATCACTTACTTTATAATCTTACATTGTTACTGAGTCTAATTAAAATAAATAGGTATATATTTTTTCTTGATGTGCCTCAGTGTAAGCTAAGTAAAAAATATACATATACTTAAAAGTTTATTCATGGAAAACTTCCAAACAGATCATGATTTTTTTTAGGGCCAAGTATGATAATAATAATAAGTAAATAGAAAATTCTTTTTCTATGAATATTTTACTGAAAAGTAGGTGAAATATAACCAGATTTTAAACTGACAAGATAATTGAGCTACTGTTTGAGGTAAACTAAGCAGCAGTCAGTATCAAACTACTACTTAAGGTTAGAGCTGGGCAATTAGTAATATTTGATAATCAATTAACTAAGGGCTGCAGTAATCAATTACAGTCAATCAATCTATGATATATACCAGCAAAGAAAGAAAAACTGGTTGTGAGTGTTATCAGACAGTTGCTTTCTCTCTAGTCAGAGGAAAAACAAAGTTGGTGATGGGTGCTACTATTCAGTAGTTCATAACTGATGACATTGATAGACAGCCTTCGTAGCTTTGCCATATGATGACAATGATAGATAGCCTCAGTAGCTTTACCATAACTGATGACAATGATAGATAGCCTCAGTAGCTTTACCATAACTGATGACAATGATAGATAGCCTCAGTAGCTTTACCATAACTGATGACAATGATAGATAGCCTTAGTAGCTTTGCCGTATGATGACATTGATAGATAGCCTTAATGGCTTTACCATAACTGATGACAATGATAGATAGCCTCAGTAGCTTTACCATAACTGATGACAATGATAGATAGCCTTAGTTGCTTTGCCATATGATGACAATGATAGATAGCCTCAGTAGCTTTACCATAACTGATGACAATGATAGATAGCCTTAGTAGCTTTACCATAACTGATGACAATGATAGATAGCCTCAGTAGCTTTACCATAACTGATGACAATGATAGATAGCCTTAGTAGCTTTGCCATAACTGATGACAATGATAGATAGCCTCAGTAGCTTTGCCATAACAAAGACAGGGCAAACAAGTTTCGCAACAACTGGATCAAGCCTGACATCAATCCTGAGATTACTCATCTTTAATCATCATAGATTGACAAACTTGAAGTAAAAACAAAAACAGCTTATAAGGTTAGAATTGTATAAATACTCCATTATGTAGCTTTGTGCTTAAAAACAGGTAAACATAACCACACCATTTTGTTAGTTGTAATAACCAAAAATAGTAAGAACAGAAACCCTAATTTTGATTAGTTCATTATTTAACAAAATTTATTTAATCAAAAACATTAACTTCCATTAGTTGGTTATTTTTGTCACAATCAACATAATTCAAATGTTAATTAATCAATTGTTAGAATAACAAAATAGAGCAATAATTAAAAATATTCATTTTCATTAATGTATTTAATCATAACATGGCTTAATCCATTAGTTTACATGAAACTACTTAATGTAATCACTAGTTATAGGTAATTGACTTTACAGATTCATCAATTAAATTTCCCAGTTCTACCTAAAGGAAAATGACAAATATTTGATCTACCGCATAAGGTAGACTACCAGATAGTCAATCTATTACCTGAGGTAAACTAAATGTTCTAATAAATTATTAGATTCTATATAATTAAAGATAAACTTTATTACTTTAATGTGAAGACAAAGTAGTGATAAAAGAATAGTAATGTATTTGGTTCTTAAACATTAGGCTTAACAGTTACAGTGTTGACAACAGGTTGCTGGTATTTGGTATTGAGTATTTATTTTCAGGCTATACGTATAAATACAATGGTTAAGACTAGTGTAGGAGTAAACGTTCACAGTTTGTTAGGGGTGTAATGGGTGCAATGAGTGGGTTTTATTTGAGAACTCAGGACTGACATGTACTTGTAAGGAAGCTAGTAATGAAGATGTGCAATTTTTATGTAGAGTTTGTAGGTTGAAGAAGACGTTGGAGGCAATCATGATTAAAGTAGAGGAGATAGATAAAGAGAACTGTAGATTATGGGAAATGGCAGCAGAATTTCAAGAGGAGCTTAACCTTTTACATGTAAGGAATACATCAGCTAACACTGACTTTCAGGAAATTAGAAAGAGTACTATTAGAGTAAAAAGAAGTGAATTTAGTTATAATGAGCCTATTCTGTTGAGCAACAAATTTCATCCCTTGGCTTCTCCAGATGAGGAACTATTGGAGGGAAGGAAAACAAAAGGGTCA